TTTTATTGACAAATTGCATATTCTTTAACATGAAAAATTTTCAACTAAACTCTAATAGGTCATATCGGAGTAAAGGTCATGTCCTGATGCATCAGAAGCAAATACTAATGATAATGACATCATTAGGACACCAAATATTGAATAAGTCAATACTATGTAAAATCGTTTTTTATAAGAGTTCCATTATTTGACAATAGTAGAAATATTTGTTTATTTTTATTATATTAAACATGTGAAAGATTATTGTACTTTTGATGGCAAACCCTTAGTTAATAAGTCAACGAAAAAAGTTATGGCCAAACACATACAATAATAGTGGGTTTCATTTGTGTAAGATGGATCCATGTTCTTTTATTGGACCAATGATCTATGTTCTTGATAGAGTGAGTTTCTTTTTGGGCCTTATATTACGGGACAAGTAGTATAAAATTTTCTTTTAGGCCTTGTACAACGAGTCAAGTAGTTTAGGGTTTTCTTTGGGCCTATGGTAGTAGTGTAGGATTTCAAGCCTATGATTGTGGGCTAAAGGAGGTTCCTTTAGGGTTAACTTATAGTCAACCACACCGAGGCGACACACACACCATCACCAACAGTCATATTTTTAAAGGAGCAATCGAGCAGCAACCAACCGTTTTCGCTTATGGTCTTTAACCACACTTAAGACTTGGGGTGGGGGGAGCAGAGGGGCATGTACGATATGTATTAGTCTGTACATGTCGACCACAATATTGCGTTAACCGCTAAAGGCATGGAAAAAGCCAACTAGTCATGATTAAAATCAGCTAAACATTTAATTAGTGTAAACAAGTCAATAATAATATTTAAAAGAAATTGAACTGTAATTAGGCCAACCCTGATCAAAAGTTTATTGAGAAAACTTAAATATAGGTCAAAGGTATAATTGTTGGGACATTAATTGTGTTTTTATTATAACATTAATTATTTTAATCAATCGAACCTAAAGTGACTTTTAGCAAGTATTCCCAATAGATTGATGAACAAATTTCCTTAATAAAGAGAGGACAATATTGAAGTGTTGTTTTAAGTCAACATTTGACCCTACACTCGAAAAAAAAGTTCTTGACATTTCCCTAAAAAAAATGTATAACCAAGTTTTCTTTGTGTTTGATTACAAATATACAACAAAAACTAAGTTGGATTTATATAATCTAATAATTAATAGTTTGTTGATTGGACTTTTGACTATGGTTTGCCACCCAATCCCAGTTATTTCCTTTTTTATTTTCAACTTTAAACAATGGTTCTCCATTCAACCATAATTTTTTTTACTTTAAGAACTTGTAACTAGGGTTGGACAAAGAACCATCATTATTTCCATTGATTTTTTACTTCCCCATAATAATAATTGAAAACTTTGTTTTATTTACTAATTGTCACCATATCTTTTTTTTTTTTTACAATGATGACTTTTAACTTGTCATTAATTTGCATTGTTAATAAATCTTTTTAGACTTGTGAAAACCATTTCAATATAGTTAAAGAACACTAAGTACTCAATCTTACTCTAAAGTAATGTAAAACATATAACATATGTCAATAGAAAACATGTACATACTAATATTTACCACTTAACCACTTATATACACATATATACAAAAAAATAATTATAAAGAAGGTTTAAATCAAAGTTTTTATTTATTTACTAAATGTTACTCCTACACATGTATCAATATTTTTTAGTATAATTATAATAGTTCATCACATAAATATCACATACAAAAATAAGTTAATGAAAACAAAATGATAACATAAGATATATTAAATATGCTTTACCGTATATTCATGTTTGATTCAATTCAATTGGAATTTACTCACAAACCCAACAATGATGAATCAAAGTAAGTTCCTTACGATCCATGTTGCATATTAACACATATTGCATTATGTAAAAACTCTCTCCTTAGTTTTTGACCACCAATATTTTAGCTTATGTGATTTAGATTATTAGTGAAAAATGATATATTTGTTACAATATATTTTTCAATACTTCATAATAACATTAATGATTAATACATCATCCCATATGTATAATTCCAACATAATTCATACTATTTCCATTAATCTAAGTAAACATTGGCCTACAAACATAAGTTGTTTAAACTAAAACTACAAAATAAGCCAAATATAAAAACTATCATTTTGTATTTATAAAACATACACACAATAAGTCAATCAAAGAAACTAAAAGAATGATTTTTTCTTTTTAGTTTTAGCAAAAAGGAGTTTGTTTAAGTGAAAATTTCTAATTTAAGAGTTAATTTACAATGTTATTTTCACTTGAGTGAAATATTTTTTAATATATAACTTATTTTTTTTAGACTGAAAATATTTCGTTTGAATAAAAATATAAGAAAAATTAGTTTCAAAATGAAACCATTTTTTTTCAAAAGCATTGTAATCATACAAATTTTAAATAATTCAAAATAATCAATCAAAATCAGATTGATTAAAACACCATCTTTACCTCATTCAACCATACAAATCTCATCTCAAACATTAAAAATAACTTCAAACAACATATAATTATGCACAAAAACTCAATACAAAATGAACATGTTACTTTTACATTTAAATAATTGGCTTAATAGCTTATTTTGTCCCTAGATTTGCTGAATTTTGCCAATTAGACCATTCCTTTTAAAAGTGTGTCAAATTAGATCTAACTTAGTAAATTTTGCGTCAACGTCGTCTCTTCCGTTAAATACGTACAAACGACGTTAACTTGTTTTTCTCCTTCCTCTGCTCTTCTACAATGCAGGAGACATTTCTTTTTCTTTTGCGAGTGCTATCTTTTCATAATAATAAAGTGAACCTAAATTTTATAAAATTAATATCAACATTAAGTACAACTGAAACATCATTCAAATATTTTCCAATTCAAAATTCCGATTCAGTAAAAGCAGGTGTTTAAGATATCTATGCACCTTATCATAGGTTAATAATACGCTTTTTCTAATTATAACTTTTATCCTTTGTATCTATTGTTTAATATTTTCATGTAAAAATAAAGAATATATTGTATATCAACTAGAATAATTAAAAATATTTTGATAAAAATATAAACATTTAAAAAGAGTACCTTTTATTGTAAGAAAATAATTATAAAATTATATTTTAGTTTTTAATGTTTGCATTATAATTAATATACATAAATTAATTTTAAACTATGTAAAAAAAGCAAGATATAATTTTAAAACGAGCAAATAATAGATAAAGCTACTCAGTCAAGTTTTCTAAAAATAAATTTGTTACCGGCTAAGTACGTGAATGACACTACTAATGAAAAATAAAAATATTTCGTAATAAACTAACTGTAGAAAAACAATTGAGAGGGTAGCTGTTAACTTTTTATATTTTAAATTTATTATGAAATCTATTAAAGTGATAAATGTTTTTATAAATTATTCATTTATTTGTTAACGATGTACATCACATTCATAAATGACAATAAAAACAAGATTAGGTTTAATAATGCAATTAAATATGAAAATAGAAATAATTCAATCCTGTAAGAATGATTAGAAATCAAAATTAAATTTGTGATATTATTTATTAAAATTAATAAACTTAAATATTTCTATATTTAAATAAATTAACTATTTTTTTTTTACTTACGCAGAAAGCACAATTTAGCTAAGTCATAAAATAAATTTCATTATTTTTAGTAATCTTTGAACAATACACCGTGAAAAAGAAAGAATTATGCAACATATATGAGTCTGTTGATTTCTTTTATTAAGGTTAATGAGATTTAGCCAAATAAATAGATATTTATTATCTCTTTTAAAGCCAAAAGGTTTTTATCAAGTTGAAAATTAACTTGACAAAGTGTTAAAACATATATTGTATACCTATGCTTGTGCACTGAAAAAAGTTTTTGATATAAATTAAAAAGTAACTTCATTTTCTATTTTGAAAAGACAAAACTAACAAAAGAAAGAAATGTCTGTTGTGTCATTTGTGCGTATTTAACACATGGAACGACGTTAATGTAAAATTTATTAAATAAAGATTAATTTGACACATTTTAAACAGAAAACTTAATTGAAAAAATTAAGCTAGAGACAAAATAATTATTAAGCCTAAATAATTTAACTTAAGATTTTATTAAAAAAATAAGCACTTTCCTTTAAATTCAATGATATAAGCATTAAAGTTACTTAAAATTCAGGAATTTAAAACAAATTATTTGTAGATAACATAATCTTATAGTATGTGATTAAATAAATTGAGACAACGTATATTTAAAGTTGACTTACTAAAATTATAAAAAAAATCATAAAATAAATAGACGATGGTCGGCGGATTTTGAGTACTGTAAGAATGATAGAGAAATGTTAAAATAAGAGAAATGAAAGATAAAAGGTCGAAAAAAACCAAAAATGAGAAAAGAAGGTGAGTAATTTTGAAAATGAAAATTATTCAAATATATCCTTTACTTTAAAACTTAAAATCCATAATATATAAAAGTATTTTTGTTAACTAAAATTTGATACACTATGTATCAACTAAAAACACACTAGAACAAACTCATATATATATATATATATATATATATATATATATATAGTTTTATTTTGTCATATTATAAAATGATAAAAACAACTACCTCTTATAATAAATTAAATTTTTATGATTATTTATTTTTAGTTAATATTGTTTTATTTATTTAACTTTATTTTATGATTATTTTTTAGTTAATACTGTTTTATTTATTTAATTTTATACATAAGTAAGTAAAGTAACAGAGAAGATAGAAGTATGAATATTTAGTTATCTAGTTGGTTGGTACAAAAATGAGTAGAACAAGTATTAATTGTATATCATTCGGTGTTTGCCTGGTATTAGCTGTTTGGAGGGAAGGGACAGTGAAAAGGGCGGGGCTAGAATGTCTTTTTAGATGTTTTGGGGTTTAAACAGTAAGCCAGGGTGTGAATAATATTACCCATGTTTGTGACCAAAAAATTATAATTGTCAAGATCCAAAAATAAAGAAGAGAGAAGCGAGAGAATAGAAAATAGAAAAAGAAAAAAATTGGCGTTGATTTGTTTTTCCTTTCAACGAAAGTCCGAACCGAACACGACAGGTTCAAGCTATAGCAGTACCCAAAACCCTAGCTAATCTCAGTAGTGAGTAAGTGAAACGCACTGTGTTTGTAGGACTTGAAGCGTGGCTGCATTAAGTTATCCGATTCCAAGCTTACAATTTCTTTCGGATCTTTGCAATGGCGGAATCATTGCAATCTCTCGTTTCCCTCTCAGAATTGGTTTCCACTTCCTCCACTAACCAACGTGTTAGGATATTCCGTCGCGAAATTCCCGCGTTCTTGAGTTCCTACGCCTCAGGTCAGCACCGAAACCATCACGCCAATGCGCCATTTCCATTTCACACTCTCCAAACTCAAAACACCATTTCCATTTCCTCTAAACGGCGATCGTTTTATCGCGAACGCTGCTTTCTTTCTTTCTCTGTTCTTGCTGCTTTCTTTCTTTCTATGTTCTTGCTTAATCAGTCATGAAGGTCTGAATGCGCGATTTGTTTGTTGTTCGACTTAATCAGTTTGGTCTATTTTGCAGAAATGTCAACCGAGCTCGCTTCGCTACTTACCGATATAGTGTTCCGAACGGTTGCGATTTACGATGATCTCAGATCGAGGAAAGCGGTCGATGAAGTGATTGTGAGAGCGTTAGGGGAAGAGGTGTTCATGAAGACCTTCGCAGGAGCTCTAGTTCAGAATATGGAAAAGCAATCCAAGTCTCAATCTCATGTTGGATGCTATAGACTTCTCAGTTGGTCGTGTTTACTTCTGAGCAAGAGCCAGTTCGCCGCGCTTTCCAAGAATGCTTTGTGTAGAGTGGCTGCGGCGCAAGCTTCTTTGCTTAGTATAGTCTTGCAAAGGTCTTTTCGTGAGGGAAGGGCTTGCAGGAAAAAATTTTTCCATTTGTTTTCCCAGGTTCAGCCCAACTGTCGTTTCTTTTATTTTATTAATAATAATAATAGCAATATCCTCAATTTTATGCTTGAGTTTAAGAGATGGTAGCTGTACAATATGTTTTACAACAAGATTGTACGATAATGAGAGAGAGAAGATATAGAAGTGATGAGGGACGTTACTGTCAGTGAAAAAATATATTATTGTATAAATTGATGTACGACTCACTATAAATAACAACTTATAGAATTTTGACTTCCTCCTTTGCAGTTTCAATGTATATAAGAAATTATATTGTAATTTATATGTTTATGCTTTTCAGTCACTTAATATCTATAAAGTCTACATGGAAGAGCTGAGAAATGGACGAATTCCTTTCAAGGATTGTCCTGAATTATTAATGTTCTTGCTGGAGTTCTCATTTCAATCTCCCTCTTTAGTTGTGGAATTCAAGGTGAGTGGGTGTATGTAATTTTTCTTGTTTATACTTTGCATTAGGTTGATATTAACCTTATAGGGTCTGATGTAATTTATTGCTCCTTACAGCCAACGTTTCTTGATATATATGTTAGTGCGATACTGAGTGCAAAAGAAAAGCCTGGAAAGAGTCTTACTGAGGCATTTCGTGTTCTTTATTTGCAAATGTCACATGAAGATTTTCAAAATATTGTTGTACCATCTTCTGTTAAAATGCTAAAACGCAATCCGGAGATTGTGTTGGAGTCTGTTGGCATTCTTTTGAAGTCTGTTAACCTTGATCTGAGTAAATACGCAGCTGAAATTCTTTCAGTAGTATTAGCACACAGTCGGCATGCTGATGAAGGGAGGAGGGATGGGGCACTGTCTATAGTCAGGAGTCTGAGCCAAAAATCTAGTAATCCAGATGATTGGAACAATGTTCAATGCTATCAAGCTGTTATAAAGGTATTAAATTGCCTTATGTTGGTATATTTGGTGGTTATATGCCAGTTAGACCATTTGGTGATGTGGGGGTTATCTTGATTTTTGGTTGACAATGTAAATGGTGCTTTTGTAATATATTTGACCACAAATTTCATTCGAACAGGCTCAGAAGGAAGGCTTACTTTTCCATACCAGAGAGTAGGGATGGTAAATGCAATACAAGAATTGCTAATGCACCAGATGGAAAATACCTTATCAGTCTGTCTCGTACAGTATGCGATTTTCTTCTATCATACTACAAGATGATGTAAAAGTTCTAATATTCCTTTGAATTTTGAATCTGTTTATGTATATTTTTCTTTACTAAGTGGGTGTTATACTTTTTTATTCAATGATAAAATAAAATATTATTAGAGAGGAAAGAGATAAAGTACATATTGAGAAGGGGAATCAAGATATCCTCGTAATGAAATATTGGGAATCAGATAAAGTACATATCAGGGAGGGAATAGAAATGTAAGTGCTGTTTAATCTCTTTGTTCTTTTTTAAATGCTGATACTTCCAGAAAAATATTCCTTTCCTATTTATATTGATTATCGTTAATTATACTTCCTACCCAACTTTTAATGACTTAAGCATTTATTATGGAAGTGTAAATAGAGAGCAACTAATTTGTATTTATTATGAATTAGAAATGATAAAAGGGTCAATAGGGAACTTCATAACTTTAGAGAACTGCAAAGGATATTATTTTTTTGGTTCCTGAACAAAAGCCTTAAAAGTCACTTAAGAGAGTAATAGAAAGATAATATTTACTTAAAATACTGTTTTTTTTCAATTTGTTTTAACAGCTTACTTATTATTTTAGAAAATTTCTGAGTTCTCTTTTAATTTGGAAGATCTTTTTACGTGAAAAAATCCCTAGCAAAAGGGTCATATGATTTTATTGCGACTCATACTCCACATTAATTGACAGGAAATGAGGAGGTGAAAATTGTGATTTTGTCAGCCATAGCTTCTTGGGCGTTAGATCTACAGATGCCATTCAAGAGAGTTTGGTTTCCTTTTTTGTTTCTGGCCTCAAAGAGAAGGAAACGTTAAGAAAATGTTTTCTGCGCAGTCTACATACTATTTCCAAAAATGAAGATGCTATCTTAAAGGTGACGTGTCCTTTGGTTGTTATAATGCTTCTCAATTTATCTTGTGCATGAAACTTGACTCTCATGTTTCAATTAAGTATATTCAGATGTTACCGATTGTTTGGTGCTCTTGTCCAACTTGTTAAAATTGGCTATATAAAGGCATGCAACTGTTTAGATGGCATGTACGCATTGTTACTAGTTGCAAGATAGCTGTTGTTGATATTAAAAGCTGGTTTGTATTAGATAGAAATCTTTATATTTTAAAGTTGAAGTAATGTGTTCTTGTTTTTTCTTTTTATATTTATTGGATTGCCAAAATTTTTCATTTGTTCTGTTGTTTCTACTTGCCTAGAGGAAACATTGGTAAAAAGAAAGATATGGCTCTGATATCACAAAATGAAATCTTCGGTTGTGCCCATTTTCTATGGTGATTACTCAACTAAAATTTGTTTTAATAGCATTACCAGGATTTATTCTACATATCTAAAATTTGCTCTGCAGGCTTCAAAGCTATCAATTGAGGATAGCATGGCATGTGTTTGACTTTCTTGAAGTGCTTCTTGTGGAACATTTACAGCGGTAAATTTTATTATAATCCAAAAGTTGTCTATAGTTTATGTCTTTATTGTTGTATGCTTATATGTGTTTTGTTTTCTTCTTCATCCTGCAGTACAATATCCAACTTCTCTGTCAGATTGTTTGTTACAGGTAAAACATTTTGCATTTATCAGATTTTCTATATTAGTATTTTAAGTTGAACTCATTTAATTGTTAACTAAATGCATTACTGTTTTTTTATACTGCCATCCGAGGTGGATATTCGAAGAATGACATATAATGTTACAGGAAAGATTACACCGTCTGCTCCTAATTTATCTGAAGATCTATTCTGGAATTTTCAAAGTACCTTTCCTTTGGTTGGAGAAAAACATTTAGCCTTAAAAATAAGGTAAATAGCTTATTGTACACTGATATGCATATTTATCAGTTAAATTAGTCAACTGGACTTAGATGTGCTTATTTCAGAAAGGTATCTCTTCATACGAATAGTTGCATATTTTGCTATTAAATTTGGTCTTACAATAAACTCTTACAATTTCTTTATCCAGGAAGTCATAAATATCTGGAAAGTTCCTCTTCAAATTCCCCTTTGGGATGTTTGTTGCTTGTCTAAATTTTTTTCGTAGTCACACTACTAAATAATCCCCCTGTTTATAAGATTGGTAACAGTTGTTAGTATCTTTGTTTTTCCTTCTGAAAAAACTGGTGCCTAATGTGGTTGGAGTAATTTTTTCACAATCTAGTAATAATGCCTGTGCCTTTTTGTCGGTCCTTATTATGGCCAAGAGGCTTTACAAAATCTATTTTGAGTTTCAATTTTGTTATTAGTGTTTCTTTTCCAGACCAATGTCAATTCTACTAACTATTATAGAAGATACCAAACATGGTCCTTGGTTGTATAGCATTTCAATCATAGTCTTGTATTTCTGCCCTCGTCAATCTCAATCTTTGCCACTTCTTTTAAACTCTTAATATTGAATTTGCAGTGATACTGATATTTCTTTGGAACCTCAAGTTTCGTCTGTTCCATCTGTTGAGGTGTTGGTTAAGGCTCTGCTTATGATGTCACCAGCAGCTCTGAAACTGCTCCAGATTCATTTGTCAGAATATTACTTTGCTCACATCATCCATGTGTAGTTTGGTAGTGCAAAAAGAGATGTGGTGTGGAAGGTAACTTTTCTTCATCTTGTGTTTGTCCATATAATTTGCACTTAATTATTTAATTTCTAATAAAGACCAACTAGTATAAACTTGGCAGTCTAGAACTGGCAACTTGCACATGTGATCAGTTATTAACCATTAATATTTATCCGACCTGTGCTGCGTCAATTGAAATTGTATTGATTATGGCAGGATCTATTTGGAAAATTAATGACAGGTTCCATGCATGTGGACCACTGGTCAATTGTTTAGTTTTTGGCAATTGGTCTATCTCTCTTCAAATTATTGTTACATTCCATTATTACTTGAATTTTGATAATCAAAATAAAAGGGTGAAGTGCATGTATAGTATTGTTGTTATAATTATAGAAAAAAGAAGCTGAACCTATATATTATATTAGGAACATTTTTATTTCTTCCCATATCATATCTTTGTCATTAGATAATATGAAATCTCCTTTATTATTTATCGATTCCTTTTCTGTTAATATAAATAAAGCACCTGTGTTTTCTAAAATGCACACTGTTCAACTTAATGTTTACTTTTTCATTAGAGTTTAACATGATATCTGACCCTCTTTTAAAACTGTGTCGGCTTAGATGTTGGGAACATTTCATCTAATTATATAATAAAGAAATCTATATTATATATGTTTATTAGAAACAGTTTTATTTATTCCTGTATCGTATCTTTTTGTTAGTATTGGATATAAAATCTCCTTTATATATTGTATTGATTCCTTTTTCTCAATATAAATAAAACACTCGTGCTGTCTTAAAAAAACACTTTATTTTAGCTCAATGTTTCCCTTTTTTTCCTAGAGTTCAATGTGATATCTAGAGCTTATTTCAAGATCATGTTGGCCTCATCATGTTGAGAACATTTTTATCTGAATTATATAATTTAGAATATATTGATTATAATTGAATTATTAGAAACACTTTATTAATTCTCCTATTATGTCGTTGTTTAAGAGGATATCAGATAGGGGAATAGTCGGTTAATATAGTTGACACCAGTTTTGCTTTGTAAATCTAAAATTCATTAGTTTTCCTTTAAGGTTAATTGCATATAACATTAATTTTCTCTTTAAAAAATTGATAATTATAAAGATCAAACATGCTCTCAACTATACTAATTATCGAGTTCCAAATGAAAAAACAAATTAAAGTTTACTAATATTGTAGTTTTTTTTCTATTGTACTAAACATGAAATATGTCAATGCCTGTACTGAACCAAATATTTAGTCCTCTATTTATTGTACTAAACCAAGTTTAATAAGCAGTCCATTTAAAATGTTTCTTAAACAATGAAGTTCATCTTTTATAAGCTTATTACAATAAATACAAATAATTATGGGATACTTCATCCCTACTTACGTGTTATGAGATGCTTATAAATCATTTGTAATTGTTCGATATAGTAAAAGTTATGTATGAGAATAATCTTCCTTGTGTTGACTATACACATAGGATATTCTATTTATAATAGAAGAAATATGGACTAAACCTAAAATACAAAGAAAGAATAATAACAAATTAACTAATGATAAAAGATAAAGATAATATATTTAACACTTCTTCTCAAGTTTGTACATATATTTAACTAAGATAATATATTTAACACTACTAGTTGAATGATCTTCCGTGTGCCAATCAAAGCCTTACTGTCATTGCTATTCTTAAAATCTCACTGGGACGCTTCAAAATAATATTATTGGATACTTAATTTTTTTATAGTTGAAACCTAGTTTGATAGCAACTTCTGCTGTATAGAAACAA